TGTCTGTGGCCATGCACTAATTTTTCAAAAAAAGGGTCCCCGGCCCTGTCCTAAAGTCCTCGTAGCTATAAACATCCGCCAGAGCTTCACAGCCAGCACAGCACAGATGTTGGAAGCACATCCGGATTCTACACAAGAATGGCCATACTGGGACAGACAAAAGGTCTATATGGCAGATGCTCCAGAGGGAGTGAACAGAACAGGGAATGCTCATCACATTTCCCCTCTTCCATCACCCATTCCCAGCCTCTGACAAACAGAAGCTAGGGACACCATTCCTACCCATCCCGGCTAATTAATGGACCTGTCCTCCATGAATTATCTAGTTCTTTTTTTGAACCCTGTTAGGATGTGTCTACACAGCACCCTTAGCTCAAAATAAGATATGCAAATTGTGTAGCTTATTTTGAGTGTATTTCAAAATAGCTTATTTTGGAATTTGGCTTATTATGGAACAAGGATTACTGAGACATCAGAATAAGCCGCCCATTATTTTGAAATCTATTTTGAAATAACAGGCTGCTTCAATAGACGTGGAATAACTATTTCAGGATACTTCTGGTATAGCACAATAGCTCTGCAGTATAGATGTACCCTTAAAGTTCTGGTCTTCACAACATCCTCTGGAAAGGAGTTCCACAGGATGACTGTGCGCCCAGTAAAGAAATACTTCCTTTTGTTTGTTTTAAATCTGGTGCCTATTAATTTCATTTAGTGACCCCTAGTTCTTATATTATGAGAATAAGTAAATAACTTTTCATTATTCACTTTCTCCACACCAGTCATGATTTTACAGACCTCTATCATATACCCCCTTAGGCTTCTGTACACAGTATTCAAGATGTAGCCATACCATGGTTTTATATAGAGGCAATAAAATATCCTCTGTCAGTCACTATTCCTTTTTTAATGATTCCTAACATTCTTCTTGCTTTTTTGACTGCCACTGCACACTGAGTGGATGTTTTCAGAGAATTATTCACAACTGCAAGATCTCTCTCTCCAGTAGTTATGGCTAAATTAGTTCCCATCATACTGTATTTAAAGTTGGGATTATGTTTTCCAATGTGCATTACTTTACATTTATCAACATGACATTTTATTTGCCATTTTATTACCCAATCACTTAGTTTGGTGAGATCTTCTTGAAGTTCTTCACAGTCTGCTTTGGTCTTAACTACCTTGAGCAGTTTGCTATCATTTGCAAATTTTGCCACCTCGCTGTTTATCCGCTTGCTCCAGATCATTTATAAATAGGCTGAATAGGATTGGTCTCAGTGGGAACTTTGGGGGACCCCACTAATTACCTTTCTCCATTCTGAAAACATACCAATTCTTCCTACCCTTTGTTTCCTGTCTTTTAACCAGTTATCAATCCACAAAGGACTTTCCCTCTTATCCCATGACAACCCAACTTACTTTACTTAAGAGCCTATGGTGAGGGACCTTGTCAGAGGCTTTCTGGAAATCTAAGTATACTATATCCATTGGATCCCCTTGTCCACATGTTTGTTGACCCCCTCAAAGAACTCTAGCAGATCAGTAAGGCATGATTTCCCTTTACAGAAACCACGTTGACTTTTCCATAACAAATTATGTTCATCTATACGTGTCTGACAATTTTATTTTTCACTATAGTTTCAACTGACATTAGACTTACTGGTCTATAATTGCCAGTAATTACCTCTGGAGCCCCTTTTAAATATTGGCATCACATTAGCCATCTTCCAGTCATCATGTACAGAATCTAGGCTTCTTGGATAGTTGAGTCACTACTTGACTAGTCACTTCCCCCTTTACTGCCTCTGTATCATGTTAAATAGCAGCTAGTAAACTAATCAAGTATTTGATGGAATTTCCATTTCCGTAGATAGTTTTCAAGATGTGGGCATTCCACGGACGCATCTTGTGGGTGCTGAAGATGCCCCTTACAAGCCACTGTGAACCAGGCTTCCTAAAGAGGGGCAGCAACTTCAGAGACTCTTCTGAATTAAAAACATTTACAATGAATGGTCCTGTAGAACCTTAGAGACTAACCAAAAAAATATAGATAGCATCTTCTTGGGCACCTGCATGACACTATCTGTATTTTGTGGTTAGTCTCTATGGTGCTACAGGACCATTTGTTGTTTAAGGTTTTTAAGACCAGGCTTCCTAAAGAGGGGCAGCAACTTCAGAGACTCTTCTGAATTAAAAACATTTACAATGAATGGTCCTGTAGAACCTTAGAGACTAACCAAAAAAATATAGATAGCATCTTCTTGGGCACCTGCATGACACTATCTGTATTTTGTGGTTAGTCTCTATGGTGCTACAGGACCATTTGTTGTTTAAGGTTTTTAAGAACAGACTCACATGGCAACTCCTCCGAGCCTCTTCTGGATTAAGCAATTAGGGCAGCATCTGGGGAACATGACAGCTCCCTCATCCTACGATCAGGTGCTCACCCCTCCCTGCAAGGGGGCAGCTCAGAAGCACAATGGGAAAAGTGGGAGCCCCGAGCTACAGCTAGGGCCGCCTCTTCCCTGCTCCTGGGGG